TGAGGACAAGAATCATGTTGGTGCTAATATTGTCTGGCCATATTTCTGTTGTTTTCTGGTGTGCTATATCAGATGAGTTTGGAACTCAGAGTTCTTCATCAGTAAAGGTTTCTCTGGCAGTAAGTAGTGGCTTGAAATAACTAGTCAATTATTAGTCTAATAGCTTAATAAAAGAGCAGTCATTGTACACTGAAGCTGCAGATGTTGTGTATTTTCTTTATTAATGTAGAGTCAGTAGAAGTTGATCACATATAAGACAGATGAAAATTCATGCTTTCTATAGAAATGACTCATCATCAGTATGTTTTGCTTGGACCAATGTGTAGCCTGCATCAAACTTGAATTAGAAAGTCAAGTAGTAAACCATTATGGATTCAGATGCACCTTGACCTCTTTTATAGAAGGAGAAGCTGTTGTAGTTTGCCATTAATGCTGGAATGTTTCTGTTCTTCATTATTGATACAGCAACTTTAGTGCTTGAAACAGTATCATGTATGTGTCTAAAGAGCTGCCAAACTGTGCTGAATACTTGTTGCAAGCAATTCTTTAAGACTTTCTTATTATACATGGCATTGAATAAAAGCCATTGCATGATAGATCTTGTGTGGTGCCAGAGAGAACCATTGAACTGGTGAAAATATTGCTTGAGAAGATCTTCAAATACTGTAGAGCAGTACTTAATACTTCATTTTAATATAAATATCTCCAGAATAATCAGCCCTCCTATATCAAAATTAGTGAGAGGTTGTCAACTGTAGATGATAGTCAGAGAAGTATACCTGAGCTAGTCCTAACTGTCAAGTTAAACATCTTGTTCAAAAGACAGTCACCAAGAAGAGTCTGTAGGGACTTCAATATCTCTAATAATATAATGTCTCTGCAGCCTCCTCTGGCAATTGCAATTATTCTTACTCTGACTGTTTTTAGTTTAAGATTGATCAGATTTGGACTTAAGTCACTACAGAGCATGCAAGTTCTAATATCAAAATGGTCTTTGTGATCAACAACTAGATGGCTGAAGATCTGAACACAAACATTACAGGTTAAGTGTCCATATTGGAGTATACACTCTGATACTTGAAGGAGACAGATCAAGCAGGTCTGGTTTGATATAAAGAACTTCAGGTTTTTCTTGAGGGAGTCTAGATTATCAGTATGAATTTGTGCAGCAGATTACTTCCCAGTCTTTAGTTTGAAAAAGAACTTTTTCAGATGGTATTGAATATTATTACACTGGAAGCCTGTGTGATCTGTACTATTAGATAACTGAATGAATGTTTTTGTACATCTTGGCTGATAAAATGAATTAAAAATAACTTGGAGATCAAAGTCTATATTACAGGTTAGAGTGAACTAAGTTCTTGAAAAGTTATCTGAAATCATCTTACAATGTATCTTCTCTGAATATGCATCCATGAGTATACTTGAGGCAACAACAGAAGATATGGCATTATAAGATAGTCTGTTATCTATTGTGAGCTTTAAAAAAATAGAAAGATGGTCCACTTTATTCTGTTGAGTTTTAAGCTGTTTTCAAGCTGCTAATGCAAAATCAAATGGATCAATAGTACTGTTAGAAGTATATATTATTGCATCTTGAAATAATTCAGTTAGATGCAGTGCTGAAAATAAACAGTAGTATTGCTGATGTGTAATATATGTCAATGCAGCCTGGTAAGAAACCTTCTCTTTCAGCTAATGAACTGAGAATTGTTGGTTGATGTTGAAATGAACTACATTCAGAAAGAAGAAGAATGCATTAATACATGTGCTGTCTGGAAGAATGTCTGCTGTTGACCCACTTGTCTCAGAGATAATAATCATAATTATTGAATGAATGGCAGGTGGCAGGGTTAATGCACTGCCAATCTCAGCTCAAGATTTCACCTGGGTGATTGCTACATCTAGACTAGAGAAATCATTGACAAATATGCAGATCACATTACAGAAAAGAAAAAGCAGTCTTGCATGTATAATGTCAGATAAATTATGATTAATTACAGATCATAAGCAAGAATATAATTTACTCTCATGGCAGAAGTTCTGATTAGTTGTACAGCTTGTAGCAGAGAAAGAGTTACTCTCCACAAACATAAGAGAACTATTCTTGCTAGCAGTAGAATCATTCAACTGCAGTATAATTTTCTTTAAGAAGTTTTTTTGTTCCTGGTATTGCTGGAGAAATAGCTGTTGAATAGCAGCATCTTTTATATCTCTATTCAGAAAATGTATCAGCTGTAGATGTTGCTGTAATACCTGAGGCAGTTCCTTTACCAGATGACACATGCAGCCTATATTCTCTAAAACAGAGTAATTGTCTTGAACCATATGAATTCATTCTTAATGCTTGCAAGAAGACATAATGATAGTAGAGACTCTTTCTTAATAATTTACTTCAGCTCTGTCTATACATAATTAAGATAGATGTGTGTTGACACTTGCAGCCATGAACAAACATATATATATGTATGTATATATATATAAGATGTTTCTGCATTTCTGCAGATTTATTGATTGTTAGATACTGAAAATAATGATAGCTTATCACTGCTGTAAAGCTCCACTACTCACCATTGATCTGTTAGCCAGAGGACTTTCTTGACCACTAGCAGCTAATACTGACCATACAGTACCATCAGAGTTGCATTATTCAGAAGTATAAGCTTACATAGCTTCTTATCATGCAGAAGATCTCTCTGCTACAGACTAGAGAGTTCAAGACTACAGATCAATACAGCTCTATTTACCAGAGCAGGTATATAATTCTCAGAATGAAGCTGATAGCATTTGCTCTTGAAAACATTGGCAAGATGGAAAATGTGACAAGTATTGATTATTCACACACAAGATGTGTTTTCTTTAAACTCAAGACAGTTAATTCTAATTTTTGCTTTTCTCAAATAATGCTCTGCTCTATTCAGGAAATCCTATGTATCAACATTTATGTAATTCATAATATGCAAGAGACCATTAATTCAGATGCCTTGTCAAAGAGGAATATTATCTTTTTCTTATTGAAATCACTTGCAATAATTACTAGTAGTATGAAGGCTTGAGAGCAATCTTCTTGCAATTACAAGTGACAATGTATCAAACAATGGTATTATATAAGTACATCTTACACATCAGTTGAGGTCAGCATTGCAGCAGTTGAACAAGACAACTGATTGGAATGCAGAGAGTGGGACAATACTCTGTCTTGCTTATGTGATTTAACTTGTGATTCAAGAGCTGGTTTGCAATCTCAAGATTCAGCCAGACAATGATACTCTATTCACTATCTTTAATGAGAGCTTAATTACTGATGACCTAGCATCAACAGACACATTTGCAAATACTCTTAGAAAGATAATGAAATTTGATAACAGTCTTGATATACTTGAGTTGATTTACTAATCTTTGCTTGACAATAGATTTGTCTTGTTGCTAATGCAATCAATACCTCCCCCCAACTTGCTGCATGTTTCTGAGAATATCAACAAGAGAACCAGCACAAGATGATTCAAGATGTTCACACAAGATGGAATTCCATCTATAAGATGTATGTTTGTGCCTTGTTGCTTCAATAAGCTGTAAACTTATGAATCTAGAACTCATCATCAAAATACTAAAGGCTTTACTTATTGGACCATGACTGGAAGCAGCTAGAGTATATGGTTGAACTGTTGCAGCCATTCAGTTAATTTATCAAGATACTGTTCAAAACAACAGATCTAACAATTCATCTGGTATGAGCAATGTACAATCATCTTTTCCAGCATTTAGAAAGAGAGAAGGACAAGATCCAACAGTTGACAACAAGAGAGAATATTCAAGAAGCTATCAAAGCTGCCAACTTGAAATTTCAGAAATACTATAGTGATACTGAGCATATAAAGAGTGAGCTGCTAGCTGTAGCTACTGCTCTCCATTCATCATACTGCATGAGAGCATATGATTCAGAGAATTGGATCAGTGATGAGCATGAAACATACTAATAATATATTTTGAGATTTTACAAAAAGCATTATGAGAAATATGAACAGTCAAGAGAAGTAATACTTGATGTGAATAATGTATGTTTGTTATAAGTATTATTCTGATTTCTTCTCTGCTAACTTCTCTAGAATATTGAGCAAATGATTTTTGAGAGACTCCATTAAAGACAAGCAAATTTCCAAAATGAAATGAAGTAATATTTAAATGACAAGAATTTGATATCATCTTGAGCTCTAATTCTAGAACAGTGAAGAATACTAGAGCCTGATTTTTCAACTGTTGCTTGAATAACAAGAGATATTCTGGCTATATCTTTGACAGAAGTTGAGGTAGAACAGGTTTTCAATATTACTTAGAATACATGTTATTATCAACAATCATGGCTTCATGCATCTACAATCAAGAAGATCATGCTGCTTAAACATGGAGATAAGATGCATATACTAGATGAAGCACTCATATTACATGAGAAGTTGGTCAAGAAAGTTATTCAAGATAATCAAGATCATCAAGATACTTCAGAGATTATACAGAAAGAGATTGCAAGCCTGCTAAATCCACTACTTAATTCAGATAAGAAACAGAAAATATGTCAACATTATCAATAGATAGACTCAAGTAGCTAATAGCTTGCAATATGATCCAATTATGTAAAGAGCATTATCAAATTTTGGTACTTTTCTGAAGTTGAATAAATTAATAAAATTATGTTAGAATTATTACCAAATTTCATTACTTTTTGACAACATAAATGAGACTGGAGTTTCCAGTCCCATTCTACACTTTACTGGTTCCATCCCATATACAATATTAAAATTCCAGTCCTATCCCATTTTGTCATGTCAGGTCTCGGGCCTGTCCTACTAGCTAGATTTTGATTCTGGTCCCAATCCCATCCCAATTCCAGTTCCCATGGAACTGTCCCAATATGCTGTTAAACAACCCAGTCCCATTCCATTAAGCTGAGCTTCAACCTGATCCTGTCCTCAGGACAGGAATTGGGATGGGAATCTGGGACCAGGATGGGAAATCCCGGAACTGGATACCACTCTAAGCCAGTGGGTGATATTGCAAAACAAGATGCTCAACAAGGAAGGAAGGGTGGCTGTGGCTCTATTATGAGCAGAATTTTGAGGAAGTTTAAGGTTATAATGTATTCAGAGGAGTCAAAGGACAAGAGAACACAGATTATTATCTCTCAGAAGAAAGCTGAAGATACCCAGTCAGTGCCAATAAAAATAGCAGTATTCCAGGAAGAGCTGGATCATCTCTGCTCAGCAATGGAAATCTCAAAGCTCCTGTCCGGAGAGGATGACATGCAAAACAACCACAACATTCCACAAACCCTGAGACTTGCACCATCAAGGAAGAGTGATTTGCAGAGAAAGTATTGCAACACACAGCAAGCAAAACTAAACTCAAGAGCAGTGAGAAAGCAACAGTGAGGCAAGAATCCAGAATGCAATTGATATCTTCAGCAAGAGAGACAATTTAGCCTCTCTATACTACTGTGGAATTCTGAGATCAGTGCACTCATAAATTTTAGGAACACAGCTGAACACCACATACTTTCCCTACCAGTCAAGCTTGTAGAGAAAACACCAAGGGATCTCCCCGCTCTAGAATTGGGTTAGTCAGTGATAGGGGCCCCATACATAGAGTGTTTGACACTCTATGTGTATGCCCTCATTCACCAGAGATCTCAAGAACATGCCAGATCTCTTCCACACCAGATCTGCAAAACTGATGGAAAATGCTGGACATACAGCCCTCCATGCCAGAAGTCAGTCAAGCTCTTGAAGTGATAACTTCAGCTTCTTCAGCTACACTTCTTCATTTAGAGGCATCTGTTAGGAAGGCAGTTGGGTCAGTTCACAGGAAGCTCACAGAAGATCATGCCCCAGCCACTGTCAAACTCCTTGATCATTCATTGAAGATCTTAGAAAAAATCAATGCTTTTCTCAGTCTTCCAGTGGAGGATTTACTTCAGAGAACATGGACAAACAAAGACCCCTATGTCACTGACCTGCATTTGGCATCAAAACACTCAACCAACTAGGAGAAATACCTATGTTTTCTTACTGAGTGGTCACTGGCTTTGGAGAAGGAGGCATGGGAGAAACAGACATGTGGCTCATCTCATGTGGATATTCTAACCAACAATTCCAATCCCAAGCCACCGCGCGAGAAGTTTGCTACTATTCATGAATTCCTCAAGTACAAAGGAATACCTGATGACAAGACCACGTACCTTGGAATCAAGCAGGGACAGAAATACCTTGTTGCTGAGAGGCAATATCCTGCTTATCATGAATCCATGATAGTGTTTTCATTTTTTGCAGAACTATTCAGAAACATCAGGTATCCTGCTCTTCAAAGTTGTTATGATCTACTCATCTGACAAGAGGAGTATACTTCTGTACAATTGGTTGCTGAAACTATATTTCCTCAAATGGACCAGGCCCAAGCAGTCTATGAAGGTATCACATCTGGACTGGTCAATCTATTGTCTCAATTCTAACAGATTCAGGAGCTTTGAATGAGATAATTAGACATATACAAGATGACCCACAAATCAGCACCATGTTTAGTCAACAAAATGTCAACTCAGTTGCACCACGCGAACAGGGATTCAGTGAATACTGTTCATTGTCTTGAATGCTGTTTCAATACTCTGGTGCTAATATGTGTATAGTCATTGGGGTGGTGGACAATGATGAAGGTTGGCCATTGCCTTTCCCATTTGACCTAGGCTTTACTAAAGCCAAGAACCATGAAGGGCATAGTGAATCATCCTCGGGTGTCAGGAGGATAGCTAACAGCAGTTTAGCAGTTAGAATGCTGAATCTCTTTCAGCATCCAGCTCCAGATCCAGAAAGCCTACACCCTCAGATCATGGCTGGTGAGAATGGACTGGACAGTATCAATTCCTGCAAACCACTGGCAGAGCATGGTGACATTTCCTTTGAAGTGTCCTTTAATGATGAATCATTGCCAAACCCAGTTGTGCATACTCTGAACATGGCTCACTACAATCTGGAGGGACTTAATATACTAGCTCATGTGGCCAAAACAGAACTATCTCACTGGATTATAGCTGACAAAAGATCATCTGAAGCAATGAACTGCAAGAGGGGTGAAGTCAATCATGTTCTGAGACTGACTAGTCTAGATGTTCAAGGTAAAACATCACCCAGAAAAGACATGCATTCACTAAAGATGACTAAGGATTCAATCATGTGAATTCAACTGCAATGGGAGATCATTCTCCTTTGCAGCATCAATTACTAGCCCAAGCTCAGTGGGTGTGCCTGAATACAAACACTCAACTCCAACCAACTCAGAAAGCAAGTCACCCTTCTGACCCAACAACATACAGAGCTGCAGGGCTAATAAATTTTATAGGTGATGGTTTCTCAATCAAGGGCACTTTTGCATCTGGCTTGGGTACCAAAAAATCAACAGTCACAGCTAGCATGGAAAGGACCCCTGGCTTTCAGGAAACCTCACTGCTAAACCCCTGGTATTTTTCTAGAAAGCAACACTGTGTGGAAATTGGTGATGGCAATGATGTATGGCCAAGAAGACAAATAACAGTCAGTGGTAACAGTTCCAATTCTACTCCTGGCCTTGCTGCCCAGACCACTGATTCAGGCTGTTCAGCCAGTGGCACCAGTACTGTGACCAACACCAGAGTTATAGAGGATGAAGGCAAAGAGTGAAGACCCCACCATATGTTGGATCCAGGCATACTGGACATACCAAGCATAGTCAGAATGCAGGAGTTAGAAGTGGGTGAAAGCAAGACTTCTCTTACCCAGGAGCAAGAAGTCTCACAGTTCTACAAAAACAGTAACTTGCAGGCCATATTAGCAAGAACCAACTTGCAATCTGACCTGACTTTGAGTATTAGTCTATTCAGTCAGATCAAGGCGGACCTCACATTACAACTAAGCTTGTTCAACAATCCTGGCGGAATCAGATCAGATCAAACCCTTAGCAGTGCACTATTTGCTGAGAGTCTTCTTGCTCTAGATAAGGGTTGATGCTCATGAGATAGCCAGTTTAACTTGCAGTTTTTTATTTCTTGTATATTGCCTTCATCATATAAACACCTCCTCCAGCCTTTGGAAATCTAATTACCAAGTCCCCATTCATTATCAGAACCTGGTTTAGACCAAGGTGCAACCCCTCCTCTGGAGCTTGCATAATCTCTTTGACATCCTGCATCTTGTGTGAATCTTTGATGTATCTTGGGAACCCAACATTCTTGGACAGTGCATGGTCCACTGGCCTTATCACCAAAACCTTCCCCAGTAGTATTCTCCAGAGCAGAAGATGAATATCATTCTCCACCATTGACAGTATTACTGTATCTTTCATCACTTCTTCATACAGACCACACAGATGGGAGATGAATGGATTGCTTGCTAACTATTAAGTATCAGTAAGATGTTGTGCTCTCGAACAATCAAACTTACATCAACTCTGTAATGAAATAGGGCTTTGCATTGCTTCCCAAATTTCCCTAGTGGAACCCAGCCTTCATTAGAAGATTTCTTTATAGACCCTTCTAGAGCATGTTTGTATTCTTCAAATGCGGAGCATATGAGAATGCTGTCAGCTGGAAGGCAAGAAATTATGCTAAGAGCAGGATCTTCAGGCATGGCATTTTGGCTGCAGGTGAACTGGACTACAGGCTTGCAAGTCTTGTCAAATTATCTGTGACACATGATGGAATAGTATCCTTACCTGCTAGGCCCAACCAAAAGACATTTATATTTACTGTAGAAGTGGTAGCTTTGGTGCGAATTTTTGGATCTCCAGAAGAGTGAAATGCCATCATTAAGAGAGGTAAAGCCAAACATTATTATGCCAAGACAATCATCTGACACAAAGGATTTTGCAGTGGGGCACATAGAATCCTCAAGAGAGCTCTGTTCAGTTCACTGGCCAAATTATTGATTTTCAATGAGGGTTGCAAGCAGAGTAATAGGACCAAACATTTGTGGTTTGGTGGGGCCAGAAACATTCAATGAGCATGACTTCATCACCAGAATCTTGTGGCATGTTGGCTCAAGTGATGTTGTGGTCAAACATTGGCCTTCAGTAATGAATGGTGCAGCACAAGACAATAGCAACAGGCCGTCCCATTAGCATATCTGCAGCCAGGGAGAGAACTTGACAATCTCTTCTTACAAAGCCATTTGTATGCTGATTGGCTGCATTCTGTTAACAAACATCAGTTAACCAAATTCTTTCTCTCTTGAGACTAGTGCTGCAAAGTGGAAAACATGCTACACCTGTCATGTGCTGCAAGAATCCCGCCAATTGATAAATTGGGCCAGCCAAGCCAATCAGCTTATAGCTCTTTGTGCTGAAGAGCAAGTGTATAAGGTTGATTTATAGCTCAATTGGATATTGAAGCTTACAATCAACACCCTGAACAGTTATCCTTATGGATAACAAGTTTTACAAGCACTAAAGAGAGTGTACATTGAGATAGGCACCTCCTATATGTGCAACTCCCATAGCTTTCTAGCACTGAGCTGGAGAGCAAGTTGAACCCTGTAGCTTTCTGGCACCTGATCAGAGAGTGAGTGAAACGCCTGCTAAATGCATCTAGCAAGCAAATCAAGCACCTGGCAACACCAAAGCCATGGTGAACTGTACAGATGAACCAGAGCACTGAACTCCTGACCAGGAGGCTTCAATGCACCTTTCTACACTCCAAACTGAGCTTAGGTGGTCAGGTAGGCTCAGAGGCAACCCGCCAAATGATGAGCAGCAGTCTAGAGAGGAAAGTGAACTTCAAATATTGTGCAGAATGATGCTGCAGCAACAGAAGACAGTGCAACAGCTGGCACAGCAAATAAGCCTCTTGTCAGGCCAAGCAAGCACTGCAAACACGCCTGCAACAGTGCAGGAGAACCTGGAGCAAGAAAGCTTAACAAGAAGAAGAGGACTGAGAAATAGACTCTGAGGATGAACTAGAAGAATTTGTTGGCAACCTTATAGATACAAATATGCGAACCAGCAGAGCAATCACCCAATTCATGAAGATCATGAAGACTGTAAAGAAGCCTATGACCCTGGCTGGGGCCAGCAACTACCTAGCATGGAGCAAAGCCCTAAAGGTAGCTTGTCAAGTGGATACTGAGAAGATTATTCTGGAAAGACAAGAGACCTCACCACAGCCAGAGAACTTGAAGATTTCACAATACTGGAATGTTCAGAATAAATGGCTACATGGCCTAATCAACAGTACAATATCTGCACAAGCCAGAGAACACTTCAAGGAATTGGATAGCCTTAGTGCCTACAAACTCTGGGAAGCTGTAAGGACAGCCTTCCAAGAGAGACCTGAGTGCTCCCAGGCACTAGTTGATTATTCATCCAGTATATGTGGCCCTGTAGGAACCAAGGACTGCTATGCATTGGCACTACTGGAATGCCAACTAATTCCTGTTTACTGGGATGCGTGACAGATCAGCAATTAAGGCTGGGAAATGTGATCCATAAGAGATAAAGCTTGATGGTGCTGCAAGAAAATACAGAGAGCCAGAAGAGAGTCAACTGGACTCAAGAGCCCTTGTGGGAGGCAGACCATGCATACCCAGGAATATTTGATTCAAGCTTGTTGTGTGCGCAGTGGCAGCAGCAGTGGCAGTGGCAGCAGGAGAAGGAGAAGGAGAGGGTCCTGAAGAATACAAGGCAACAGAAGTGCTTTTTGGAGGGAGAATACTATTGTTGGAACTGCACTGCTATGCACAAGGCATACAAGCAGAGAACAAGATCAGTTTGTGGCTCTTGTGGTGTAACATGGTGTCAGTTTTCCATCTTTGAGGACTCAAGGCTTAAAAACCAATGAAACTTGTTTCTATGTTTGAGTATAATACACTGGACTCAGACTGTTGCTGGCCAGACAACTTGACAAGCTGTGGGTCATGCTCAATTGCAGCCTTCTGTTTGTCACTCAGTTCCTTTGGAACAGAAGGAAAACCACAGCATATATCTGGTGTTGATATTATTGTTGATTTCCTTCAGTAGAATCTTTTGTAATTAGCCACTCTACAGAAATAATGTTTTATAATAGTCAAAAAGAGGGTTTTGTTGAGCAAAATTGCTTTTTGTGCACATCTGGAGACACCCACAAAACAATTGAATAAGTGACAAATTTGTTGGCAAGAATTCCAGTTGATCTAATTGCCTTGAGCAAGAATCACCTCCAATAAAGTAATCATCTGTAATGAGAGAGGAATGAGTTAAGTGGTAGTGGGTAGATAGTAAATCCAAGCTGAGCTCACCTAGTCATGTGGCGGCACAAAGTCAAGAGGCTTAGGCAGCAACTATAGTGAGTCAAGAAATAATGTCATCATTGTGCTCAACATCTGACACTGGATTGTCAATCATGTGTCAACTGGCCACAGATATTCATGAAATCTTTTGATATTTTACAGATTTCTGTCCTTTCAGGAAGGAAAATTGTTCACCTGACCCCACCTTTCCTTGGTGGGATGTGTTGCTACCCAACTTTTGAAGAAGCCTGGCATTATTTATGATCATTTTATTGATTTCATGACATGCGTTGGAAATGCAGAAAATTTCACCATATTTTACTGCAGTGAGCCGGACCTAACAAAGACACCATCAAAGAAATGAATGCTAATAGAGAAAAAAGCAACCCCATAGTTAACTGTGGAACATGAAGTTTTGTCACCCTTCTAAATTTTGTCTATCTACTCTCACTCAAATCCTCCAATGGCTATGACTGGAAAGGGTCAAATAATCAATCTTGAAGAGACAGAGTCTTCAGTGGATGATGATCAACAGCTTGAGGAGAAAGTAGGAGAAATGGTAGGGCATTTTTGTGTGTGAAAAGAAAGGTCATCTTTGCTCATGATATCTAGTTACAGGAGGATGTCTTCTTGGAACCTGGGGAGGCAAACTTGAAAGACCCAGATTTTACAGTCTTGAATGTTGGCACAGTGCTTGTCAAAAGAGATGATGAAGCAGGAGCTATCTGGTTGCAGGATAAGATTGTACAAACAGGTCCCAACCAAAAACCTGGTCATGTCATCATTCTTGTGGAGTGCGGCCTGAGTTGCATGTTCCTTGGCAAACCATCAGTTTGATACTTCCTCTGATCTCACTCTTGAATCAAAAATATATCAACAAAATACATTACTCAGTTCAATGGAGAATGTTATTTTCGCGCGCATTTTGGTGAAGGGTTCCACTGTTAAATTGATTGATGGTAGGGGATCTCCATCCCATGGACATACCATTTCAAGCTTTTGGCAACTGCTCTGGTACTGTTGAAAGAAGGAAAGAAGATTCATTAATTTCAGCTCCACTATTGATTGCTGCAATGGGACCAGGTTAAGCAAGCTCTTAGCATCTTTCAGTTCTTGTACTGTTTTATTTTGTCAGTTTATTGCATTCAAGATAATGTTATCCTTAAGATTATCTAGTTCTATTCTGCAAAGCATACTTTCATGGCAGGGATGCTTCCTGGAGTGCTCTTTGACCAGTTCCAAATTGTGAAATTAGTTTCTTTGGTGCAGTCACTGCAATAAAGGTTTACATACTGCTTTTATGATGAGGCACCACAGCAGATGTCTGAAAGCCATCCATGATATTGCTCAATTCAGGACATTTCAGTGTGGGCGACTCCTGCTTAACTTGATCAAGAAGGACCACTCTCTTGGAGGCTTTAAGGCTCACTACCTTATGCTTTCTAAAGCATGCAGCACAAAGCAAAGCAATATCATAACCACAGTGATGCTGCATATCCTGTAAAAACTCTCAATAAACTATTTCATTGTGTTTTGTTTGTTCTGATTCTAGGATCCCAATGGTGGTCTCAGCATGGTGCTTAGCTCTTCCCTCAAGTCACCCTTGCACTTGGATTTGCTTAGCCAGTTCCTGAAGACATCTATGATAGTGGTGAATGTCACAATTCCTGTTCAATGGTTTTTTGAGCTCCTGATGCTCAAGCTTGACTTCAAGTGATGTAACTGCATGGTGGCATTGCAGAAGAAGGGACTCAAGTTCAGAGTTTGTCAAATCTGTAAAGCCACTTGTCCAAGAAAATACAGGATTCATCTCTGTATGAAATGATATGTAGGGAAATGCACTGCTTAGTGCTGGCTGAGCATTGGTGGACATTATCTTTAATTCTTTATCATTTATTCTTGTGAAAAATCTGGTAGATGGCAAGATTTTACAAGATTTTGCAGGGTTTCACAGGATTTTAAAACCAACCTCACATGCTTGTCATCCCCGCAAATTTTCAAAATTTTACAGGATTTAGCAGAATGAGGCAAAAATCACCTGGCATACTCTAATTGGCTCCAGACTCAGAATATCACCAGGAAGCATTTGTTTTGACTGTTACATTTCTAACAAGGAATTTGGTGATCTTGATAGCGTGACAATATAGGCCATGGGTTTTATTATGAGAATTGAAACTCTCCTGTGCTATTATGAGGTATCTTCATGCAAAGATGAATTAGATCTGCACAGTTATTGGACATGAGAATGCATACAGACACTCAGGCGAGCTTTCAAGTTGCGCACCCTTGATCCACCTCAGTTCAACAAGATCAAAATGGTCTCCTTCCCCTGTATCTGTATTGGTGGCCCAAGCAGAAACAGAAGCTAGATCATTCAGTGACTATCCACAGAATGGCATATAAGAAGGCATGATTTCCCCAAATCCTGAGGTGATAATGAACACATGTTTAAAACATAAAAAGCCCAAATAGCCAGTGCCCCAGACACTATTTGCAAACACCACTTTTCATTAACTATCACTATGCCCAAAGCAATGAACCCTGATCACAAGGCCACTGCTGCCCTAACTCCTCCAAACACCCCTACCACAAGAGCTCTAGAGCAGTATGTTACAAGGGAAGAGCTCAGGAGCCTTCTAATAGAGGTCCTTGAAATGAAGGGATCATCACCTGGTTCTAGTTCAGCAAGCAGGTCTACCATTTCTGAAAATGGCAACAAAAAGGATCAAGAGAAGGGAAGGGTTTGCACCTCCAAGATGAAATACAAAACTGTCAACAAAGTGTATGCTGAGACCCATATAATATATCAGACCTTACTTACAGAATACAGCTGGGACAAGAAGACATATAACTACAAGATAGTTGATTCACCCCCTGCTCAAGACATGAGTGAATTGGACAAATATGTATTCATTGTTCATAAACAGATTTGTAAGTAGCACACAATCCTAATTGTGATACTGCTGACATGATCCTTCAGATAATGAGACTGGTGTGATCACAACCTACATCAATATCAAGTCATCAGGTTTGCGAGACATTTTGAGAGCCATTCTAAAAGATATCAGGATGGCTGACCTTGGGATAGACAAACCTGTGGTATTGTTATGTGTACTTTCCCTAGGTTCTCCTAAGCTAATGACATGGTACAGGTCAAGCAGGACTTGTTGTATCATTTCCTCCCCAAGTTGAGAAAGTATTCCAGCCCCTGTGCCGCGCAAAATGACCAAGGTGATGAGGCCATGGCTCACTGAGACTTGCTGGTACAGCATCTCAAGGAGGTGTATAAGTCCATCTCAGAGCAACTTGCCTTATTCTTGAGTCAGCAGAAAATATCATTCAATCTCTTATGGATCTTTTTCAAATCAGGCACACTAGTCTATGTGACCTGTCCTTCAACTGATTTACCTCAATGCATTCAATACAGTTTCAGCAAGGAGAAAAAGTCAATGAAGGGGATTTGTTTTGAAATCCATGGTCACTATCTTGATTTTGATGGGGAGGTGTTTGGTGAATCTACCAAGACTTTGTCTATAGAGATTTTCTGAGGAGTGAGGCAAATCAAAAATCTCCCTGCATATCCCCTGGGATACCACCCAGACCCCGCAATCAAATCACGCCTGGTATCAAGCAGTTGGAAATTTGTCTCACTAATGGGCTGCTATCATTGCCAGTATCAGGGACACTTGTTTGTCTCTCAGAAGGACAGACTTGTGAAAATTCAAGTGAACAGTGGAATCATGGTTGATGCTGGGCTTTTTTGCAAGATGAACCCAAACTACACCAGGTTGGAGACCAAAAAGCCACATGTCACTGATTTGTTCAGTGAGGTTCTGGAAAGCAAAACCATCAACCACATCTAAAGCAATGGCATAGATTCTAGTGAGATGCACAACAATGATCTAGCTCTATGCAGTCCAACAGTGCTCGGCTTTTCCCTGAATGAGAAGCTTTGGGGTGGGCATTTATACCCCATGGGATATGTTGACATTAGACTAACTGCTGATCTAGGGGAATTTGCTGTGGAGAATATCAAGGAGATCAGATTCTCAAACAGCCCATTTGACATGTTAACCATCCCTGAAGACAAGAAAACAGTCATCAAATCTCTCATTGAGAGCTGTGTCTGTGTGACAAATACAGCACACTTTGATGACATTATCAAAGGCAAGGGACAAGGTGTCATCATACTTTTGCAGTATGTTTCTTTGCTTGTTGTAGCATATGAACCATGCTGATCATGAGATAGTGGCCTGCCAGAAGTGGGGAAGACACTTACAGCAGAAGCCATTGCAGAACAACTCAAACAGCCATTCTACTCAGTATGTTTTCATTACCTGAAAATAGTTGTCTGCTAACTATTTTTAGATCTCTTCTGGGGATTTAAGTGCAAATGCTGAGGAGCTTGAAGTCCAACTCACCCATACCTTTCACATTGCCAGTGACTGGGGGGCAGTCCTCTTACTAGATGAGGCTGATGTATACCTACAACAGCAACATGGTCTTCAGCTGGAATGGAACTGGCTTGTTGCTACATTTCTTCATACACTCAAATACTATAGCAGAATTTTCTTTCTCACCACAAATCTTTTCAGCAACTTTGATGCTGCTATTCTTGATCAAATCCACCTAAAGCTCTGATATGACAATTTAGATTTCACCACCTGTCAAGGTATTTTCAACCACTTTCTCAGTGAAGCAAAGGCGGATGTTGAGAAGAGTGAGCTTAGCATATTTGCTGAAATTAGTCTAAATGGTCATCAGGTAAGTATACAACATCAATTAGGACAGGGAACATGCTAACACATTGACTGAACCAGATCAAAAATGTTGTGAAGATTGCACATGAGGTTTCTGTAAATGGTGGTGCCAAGCTGTGTGCAACTCACATTCAAACAGCCCTGACAGCAATTGGGTATACTATCCCGATAAAGGGTGCTCTGCCATTTAATAATAGCCTGTATGATGAATAAGGACATTCCAATGGAAATAGCTGCTGATGTGGTGGCCAATGTAGAGGAGTGGGTAAATAAGGTAAGGAAGAAAGAGAGCAATTTAGGGAGAGAGAATTCATAAGTGCATGGTGTGTGGTCAGCAGTAGAAATTTGCTTGTCTTCCTGGGTGATGAGTTGAAAGTTCAAAGATTCTATTTTCAAGCCCTCTCTTTCTTCATGTTGGGATGTGTCTTTCAGCATTGCTGTCACCAGTTGGTGTGCAGACTTGATTCCTTAACTCAGATGCCACTTATGCTGTCTTGAAGATCTTGTCAACACATAACATCCCCCTCAGTTGTGTGTCTTTGGAGACTCATGAAAGTCTAGCAGTGCTTCCTTGACTGCTGATGGAACCAAGGGAATGGATGTAGACCAATTATCTTCAGTTGACAGGATGAAGGGAGTAGGCCTATTGTCTCCAGTTGGCAGGAAGGCAGTGAACTTATGCCTATTATCTTCAGTCAATGGCCTATTATCTCCAGTTGATAGCTCAAAGGGAATGGATGTATGCTTGTTATCTCCTGTTGACAGGGCCAAGGGAATGGACATAGGCCCATTATCTTCAGTTGACAACAAATCTGTTCAATTAGCTTCAAGTATCCATCCATCAATTTCTTATTGAAAGTTACTATACTATTCTTTTCTTGTTGAAAGATTCTCCCAAAGTTCTTGTCAGACATTCTCTCAAATGAATCAATTGGGAATTGATACCAGCTGTCAAAGGTATCTCTTGTTCTACCTTCCAGGTAAAACTCTATATCATCTTCTTTAATCCTGTAGTTGGTGGGGCTATACCAATTTCCTTGTTTAGTAACCATAGAGATGCTATGGAGCATGCGCAAGGCCTTCCATGTATATAAGATAGACAACATTGAATGGTGGCCACATGCTCCTGTATTGCTCTGGTCTTGAATGGATTGTCAGGAATTTTCAACATTTTGAGCTGGTAGACTAGCTCATGTGCTTCATAACATCACTTTGATGGATCTTTGAGATAGGGCCAATAGTTGTCTCTGGCTGCCTTGGGAATTTCAACCATAGGAGCCAAACAGGTAGGGAGAGTCTATTGATAATTAGTAACTGTATGCAGTCTTGAATATTGGCATCTCAACTGTCTGGTTTCCATCCGGGCCTCTTTGCACTCTGGGGTCCATCCTGGTCTGGCCTTGGAGGTTGATTCCTCCACTGCCTTGGTGATTGCATCCACCATGGTCTCCACCCTAGCATCTATATCTCCAGGTGACTCCAGTGGGCTTGTTTCTGGCAGGAGCTGCTAAAGTTACTTGTAGAGAAGTTTCTTATCAGTTTTCTCCCATTGCCATCTCTCTGGGGTTGTTCTTCCAGTGTTATCTATAGTGAGAAGCATCTCTATCAGTAGGTGATCTGAATCATGATCTAGCCTGTAGGTCACACAGCATCTAATAAGGGCATCTTGAATTGCCATGGCCAAGTCAATTGTTGTTTCCGCTCTTTTGGTCTGGTATGTGATGGTTGCTAGTTGGAAAAGCAGACCTAGTTTATATTTGTTCAGTAGGAGAAGCAGTTTCTCTGATTCTGGGTCCTCCTTGCATATGTTTGCCCCTCTCCAGTATGGGTGGTGTAGGTTAAAATCCTCTACTATGATCTTCTCCTTGCCCTGGTGTTGTAGCATGGCCTGTTGTAGAGTTGTGATTGCACTGTTTGTTGGCTCCAAGTTGGGAATTGGATTGTAGACATTGTGTATGCATACAACCTCTTCTCTAGCCCTCATTCTGAGCTAGTGTTGAGAGATCTAGGGAGGATACTGTCCAGTGGCAGCTGGGGATTTGCCTGTTAATGAAAAAGCATACTCTTGTCTTTCTATCATCCATGTAGGCCAGTTCAAAGTATTGAGGGATAGGGTTGTGAGTTGTGTTCCTGAAGGGGTTTCTCCATAGTTTCTGGATGGCCACAATGTTGTATTTGGTAATTATTTTGTCTCTCAGAAGGCTTGCCATGACCTTGTCTTTAGATTTCATGACATTGTACTCTGTACTGTAGGTTAATTACTGTATTAGTGTCTCTTGCTGCAAGTGGCTAGTGTGAATGTTGACTTGAGGGGCTATGGCTCCTCTCTTTCTGGGTCCCTTTTTGTGGTGATGTGGATCTTCATGACCAGTATATTGTCCACCATCATCCTTTGCTGTTTGTGGTGGAGTTGTGTAATCTGTACTGAGACTGGCTCGGGTTTAGGCTAGGGGTAGGTGTGTCTTCCAGATCTATGATGTCTGATTGTTGAGCTGCTGTAGAGCCATTGCTCTGAGATTCTGGTGGGTATAACTGGTTTGTGGTCATTGCCTGATGGGTCTCTGAGCCATCAGGTTCATGGTAGAAGACTGGCCTGGTACTCCTGGCCTGTTTCACTTGTGCCAGCTGGCATTACTCCATGCCACATGCTGCTCTTTGCAGAGAGCGCACTTTGGGGGTGGCTTGGGGCCTGATTCTTTATTCATGCATGCTCTCATGTAGTGCCTATGTAGCTGTATTCCTGGCATCAGAAGCACTGTTTGGCTGCCAAGCTACCTTTATTAGCAGGGTCAAGGATGTGTTGACAGATGGTGCCTATCTGTGTGCTCCAGTGTGTCCCTTGAAAGGTACAGCCTTGAATCTCTTTGAAGATCTTTCCTTACACTATGTGTCAGTTCAGGGCTTTCTACAAGATCACATGACTCTGACAGGGGAAGTGTTGAATGAATGTGGAGACAGAGGCCTATACCATTTAAATCTCAAACTTTCAAAGGGCCTACAAGGCTACTAACCATAAGCAGAAGCTATAGGAACCACAGAATATGAACTCAATAGATGTGTGCTCTTGCTGTCTTATTGTAAGAGAATCATGAGAAGCAAGATGAAAACTGATGGAGGACTTGTATGCTTGTCATTCACTAAGCTATCTAAAGGGGAATCTCGGCTAATCTATGTGGGTCACATGAGTGAAGTGCTAGTTGGACTATCTAACACCCCCCTATGCAACAAGCTCCAGCAGTGAGCAAGAGCCACAAAGATTCAAAGCTTCCAAATCTCTCAAATCCATGATAAAAATTAATTACAAAATCCAGATTTATTTCTTCTTTAGGCTTAGCTCCATTCACTACAATACAGTATTTTTGCTGGCTTCACAGATAAACCTCCATATTTTGCTGTATTAGCCTGTCACCCCTATTGCACTCATGAATTGAGTGTAGGGATCCATTGCAAGAGTCTTCATAAGTCTGTCAGCTTTATTTGCATTGCTTCTAACATACTTGATCAAGATTTCATTCTTTTGCACCCAGTGTCTTAGCATATAGTGCTGAATCTCAATATGGCATGCTTTTCACATTATAGCTTCAGCTTTGGCTAAGTCAACAGCTCTCTTGTTGTCAACACTTAATTTTGAGCTCCTTAGCCTTGCTGAGCCTTCACTAATTACCCTGGTGTCTATCAACAGGTTGTTGATCTAAACCAGTTCACAAGCAGCTTTGCTAGCTGCCAAGTACTCTGCTTTGGTTGTAGATTTTGAGATTGATGTCTGGTGCTGTGATCTCTACAAGATTGGAGCTCTGTTCATGGTAATAATATAGCTGCTGGTGGATTTGTATGCAGGGTCGGCTCCAGCCCAGTCAGAATCTGAACTGGCTGCTGGTTTCAAGTCTTCAGGATCCATATCCCTTTTGAAGACTATTTCTTTTGATTTTGTGCTCTTGAGGTAGTGTAGGATCTGCTTGAATGCCGCCCAGCTCTCCCTATTGGGCCTGCTGTTGAATCTCGCCAGATAATTGACTGCAAATGCAATATGTTCGCTCAGTAGATCCTCAATATACTGTTCCTGGTTCACAAAAAAGTCTCTATTTGGCTGCTTTTGAACCCGCATGTCTAGATAATGGCCTTGCTCTGTAACCTCCCTGATCTTGAAGTGTTCCTGAAGCTTCTTGATGAGCCATTCTATGTCAGCTTTGTTGGGTCCCATTATACAGCAGTTGTTGATGTGTAGGGTTAGATAGATTTGTTTCCTCTTGTGGTAGAGTAAGCCTGTGTTGTATGGAGAAATCTGGAATTCTAGAGATTTCAGATAGTCAGTAGCTGCTTGATACCAGAGCCTAGCAGCTTGCTTCAACCTGTAGAGTCCCTGGTGTAAGAGTTCTACTAGATTACCCCGCCTGTGCTTGAATCCAGTGGGTAGTTGAATGTATACATGTTTGTCCTCTGAAAGAGTGCCATTTAGGAAGGCTGTCATGAAGTCAAAGACTCTGACCTTCCAGTTCTTGGCTGTTGAGATAGCAAAGAAGACTCTTGTTGTAGGTCCACTAACAACTGCTGTATAGATTTTCTTGTAGTGAACATCTTCTTGCTGTTTGAATCTGTGTACAACCCAACAGGCTTTGAATTGTACTGTGCCACCTGTATTGTTGAGCTTTCTATTGAATACCCATTTGCCAGAGAGGATCTGCATTTTGAGTTTCTTCTTAACTAGAATTCAGGTGCCTTTCTCTTATAGTTTGGAGACTTCAACATCTAGAGCCTTCTTCCAATAAAGCCATTCTTTGGAGTGTTTGGCTTTGATGATAGATTTTGGTATGTCTGTATGTGTGCTGAGTACTGGAAGCTCAGCTCCATTTGTCTCTTCTTCTTCTGTTGCATCTGAGAGGATTTCTTGCTCTTCATCCAGATATATGAGCTCTAAAGCCTCTAATTTGCTGTCCACAAGTTTCTTTATGATTTCTGGCTTCTCTTTTGCAAGGTAAGCTAGTAGCTTGTGTTGCCAGCTGTTCAATAGATCTATGTAATTGTACTTCTCCAGGAGTTCAATGTATTTGGCTTTGATTAGTGAATTTGTAGGGATTTGATCCAATTTCTTGTTAAATATAACATCTTGTGAGATCATTATACTGTTTGTTTCTGGGTCTCAAAGCCTGTAGGTGTGCATGCCATGATATCCTACAAATTTGACCTTCTTGAACCTAGATTAGAGCTTTGAGAAT